TTTTTTTTTCCTTTTTTACAAACTTAAAATTTTGTTGCCTACTCATATATGTAAGGAGTAGTTTATCTTTTGGAGCCTGTTGGAGGTACGGAGGTTGGTCGTACACTCAAATTAGTTCTGTTTCGCGTATTATACTGGTGAAAGTCACCATTTGTTTATATTTTTTTGTACATACAACAAGGCTTCAATAATATATTGACCATAATATTCAATTCCTTAAACTTATTCCGTACCGACTCTCTTGGGGAAACACAACAAATATACCGAACAGCCCGCTTCTGCAGCACAAATATGGATTGAACCTCTGCAGCAGCACCCCACAGTAGAATACCGTACGACATAACGCTGTGAAAGTAGCTATGATAGCTACACAATTTTAGCCGTGTCCATATCAGTAAAGAATTGGCAAAGGCATCGAAAACGCTGCGTTTCTAACGACGTTATGTATGCCCTTTGGTCCTTTTTAGGCCTGTAACAACAAAAATAACACGACAGTTCCATAGGACCAAGTATGGTACGTTTTATCATCTTTATTACGCGCTATCTTAAATATTAGCTAACCATGCGGAATAATTGCAATAAATATATCAGTTTTATATATTCAGTAGGTATCTTTTATTGTTTTATAGCAAAAATAAATACTCGAAGACAAAAGCTCCACCAAAGTGCTGTGACCCTTACGCTCCTCATCTGAAATACGGAATTTTCCACCGGAAGAACTCAAAGTAAGTTTTGAAGTCTAAAATATTTTAACCACCTCCTTAAGCCTTTATACGCGGCAGTCCCATTACTATTACTACACTGAATCATTTAATTAAAATTAAATATATTTGCTAGATTGGAATAACAGAGCTCTAAAAACGTTTACTAAGCAAATTAAAATTAATAAAAACTAGTTTCCCAAAATCATTTTTTTTTCACAGAGAAATTGAGTCATCGAAAATCAGTCTGAATAAAACTACCTCTGAACAAATATCCAAGGAGGGATACATTAAAAGTAGGTTTAAAAAAAGGGTGCGTGTACTTATGTACGCGCGTAAGAAGTTATACTTCTTTGGCATTATTAAAAATAGTTTTTGATTGCAAGCAAATAATTAATTACAATTAAATAATCAAAGACTGGAAAAGGAGATATTATAGTCAATAAAGTTCAGTTTACATTTGAAAAATTAAATAAATAAATATTTATTATTATTCGTGCCGTATGCCGTAGCATCTTCCGTGGGCAACTTCATACTAGACATTTTGTGTCACGGTGCGCGCGTATCGTAAAATTTCACTCTCATCAATTTTTCATAACGCGCCTAAGGAAGTATAACTTCAAAAACTTTACAATTAACAAATTCTGCATTTGTATTATAAGGATTTTGTAATTAATAGCTTTTCATGCACGTTAAATTATGAATATACCTCGTCCCCAGGGAACTCAAGTGTAATATTTACAATTATTGGAATGTATGACATTACTACGATGACGTCATACCATGAATCGCGCTTTGTATTCGGACCGCTAGGGACATAACTTAAGAACCGCTTAGCTGTTAGGGCCAGTCAGCAATGTTAGTCGTAATATTCTCCCTTCAGAAATCCCTTTAGTTTGGAAAAACCACAACATTCTTGCTCCACTAAATTTTTTTGTATGTTCGTAAATGTGTAATTTTATTGTAATGCCTGTTGGTAGACTTTTTAAATAAATATAGTTATATATCTAATTACCCACTGTGTCTAAGTAGTGGTTTAATTCATTTCGATTTTATTATGATTTGACCATAATGTTACATTTAAATAAAAAATATTTTAATTATTACAGGCCCAGACGAGCCGTATTTTATAATTCGCCCTCTGAACAAACGCCACACCAAACATTTGTCCGTCTCTGAAGTATTGCATGTGGATATTCAACCAAGAATACGAAAATCACCAATGAGAGCTAGTTCATCTATTCGATTTCATAAATAATCGGTATTCTGTGGCGTGAGCATGCAAAACGAAATAGCGCGTTTATTATAATTGACAAAACAATAAATGCACAGATCAAGTAGAGTTAAAGATAAGTAAAAATATAAACGTTCACACACATATATATGTAAATAACCGTAAACGATGGATGAGGAAATAATATTATAGGTATTGCACAGCAATCAAAATCAATGTCTTTCGTTTTATGTTTATATACTTGACAAAAATAAAAGAATTGGTGCTTCCAAATTGGTGACAATAAATGGTAAAAAATATATTAACGAGACATAATGACGAATGTTATTAATGGTACAATGTTTTAAATAGACAATATATTTTGTGATCTGTGGAGTATACCACGTACATACAATGTATATTTTAATTCATTTTGTTTCTATTACGGGACCGAAGTTGTCGTATCCAATTTTTTAAATTAAAGTCTTTTGAAATGAACGTTGTTTGAGTTATTTATACATTTATTATAGTTTCCAAGTTATTGCAATAAGGATAAACAAAATTTTAATTAGATATTGCAGGTGTTGCTTATCGTAGCCATACCGTAACCATAGAATAAATTACTCTGACGTGCTTGTAACTGTTAGAAATGTGAATAAAGGTTATCTAAACATAAATTACTCATTAATGATTAAATGCAATAGTAATTGCTGCTATCCTTTTACGACAAAACATTGGTCAATGTCAAATGTCATTTTAAACCGCCCGCGTTGCAAAAGTCAAAAATCAAACAAAGGGAGATTCTTATGCCAAAAATCGGGAGAAAACGGGAGGTTTTAAAAAATAAAATAATTGCATTTTAGGCTCTTATTACTTTATTAAACAATAAAGATATATTCATATTATTAAGGTTTAGTTATCCTCATCCTCATACCATCTCTTTGAAGCAATTTTTTCGAAAATTTGCTTTTCAATATCAAAATTAAAACATGTTTGATCTTCTTCTGTTACAACACGTTTAGTGTGAAGAAGCCCTACTATAGATTCTGTGGATAATTTATTGCGGGTTTTGGTTTTCATTAGATTTATTGAAGAGAAAATTGTTTCTACATTGGCAGAAGAGTGGGGCAATGATAATATTTTGAAGACGAAGGAACAGATGTTTTCAAATATGAGCGTACCATCGCCATATTTCATGTTGTTAACGCTAGGCCAAAATTCCTCAGTTTTGTCAGAAAACAACGCAATTTCTTTCATATTGCGAAGCAAGCACCATTCTGTATCCTATGCATTGGTAATTATTAGTGTCCATTAAATTTGGGAACTGCCTACATAATGGAACTATAGATGGCAGTTCGCCTTTTTTTACGTTTTCTGGAGACAAAGCTCCCAAATCCTTTAGAGGATTATTTTTGATTGGAAATCTTTGTGTTATTTGATCGGACGCTTCAATAAAGAACTGAATACTGGTTTGGAACAAATGAATTTGTTCAGCCGTTAATCTCTTGTCAGTAAGCAAAGTATTAATGGCGTTTGCTCCGTAATAAACATCTCCTATAGCTAGAAAAAAGAGCAAAACTGAAATTCGGGAGATTTGGTCGTGAAATCGGTATATCGGGAGGGAAGAGCCGAAATCAGTAGATCTCCCGAAAAATCGGGAACTTTTGCAACACTAAATTTATGCGCTAACTATTCCACTCATCAAGCAAATCTGGCCAAATACGTACTTTGTAGTCTACTGGAGCTTGAGACAAAATCACTTTTCGACAGGCGTAGTCCACTAACGCTAAACGAATGTTTCTATGGGTATGACATATTGACATTAGCTCACGCTTTGTCACATTTTTTCATACAAATTTGTTTGACGTTAGTGGTTCATGACTGGCAAGTGATTTGTTTCAATCCTATTTTCCCGCGAATAAGTCTAAGGAGTAAGGTGCCACATAATAATTGAATGACACTTTTTACCGAAGCTACACAAAGTCGTATGTAACAGCTAGTTATAGTATAATAATAAAAGTAACTTTGTTTTTTTTTCCAGTATGAATCAATATTAATAATTAAAACAGAAATGTTAAATATAATCATGATTTATTTCACGCAATATATTAAAACTATGGTTCAAACTTTTTTAAAATTGTTGGCGACATAATTTACACTTAAGAATAAATTTATCTTATGTACTAGAAAACGAAATGACCAAATTGTAACAATATAAGTGTTCAAATAACCAAAACACCTGAATAGGACTCAAAGCTCTGACTTTAACCCTAAGGACAAAATATAGTTTTTTTATTATTGAAAGAAGTACCCACTAGCTTTATAGACTACCATATTAAAAAACATTTTTACATTGAAAATTTGCAAGGATTTTGAGTATCACTTTATATTTGGTCTTTAGTCGTAAAAACCACTGCGTCTAACTAGAACTAATAAATTAATATTACTTTCATACCATTCTTCTATTTATAAAATTATTAATTCATGTCCAAATATTTAAAGAATTATCAAAGAAGCCATAACATATTATACAATAGTAAATAATATGTCAACAATCGCATTGCTTAGTAATGGAAATCAAACCTCTAAGTCTCACTATGTGTTACCCAAGAACAGGTCAATTTAGCTTAGGAGAAAATTGCTTATTTGGACATAAAGTAATAATTCTCATATACAGCTCTTATAAGGATTAGGATAAGATTCAGAGTCAAGACTTAGTGCTTAGTATGTTCAAACACATTTTGATATATGGGAATCAAAATTAGCACTAAATCATAACTTTGAATTGAAGGGTTAGACTAAACGTCAGTAAATTGCCAGTCAGTGAACAATGCATATTTGATATGATGTAGCTACGGTTAAATACGGACTTTATCTCAGTTTTATAAGCTTTTAGTCTTAACACAGATGCGCATTTATTAACTTCTCAAGCATTATTGTTATTAGACTGTATGTTGGATAGAAACCAAATATCTAAAGTATAAAATCAATATCAAGTTTTGACAAATTAAGAAGAGAGAATATTAATCTAGTTTAATAAAAATTAAATTATTGAACAACGGTAGCATTGTCTACTTTTACATTAACTATACAATCAAAAGATAGAAATCGTCAGCTTCGCTTTCTTCAGTTTCTTCAGGTTCAACTTTTTTTATGACATCAACATGAGTACTAATATGTTCATCTAACAAATTCTTTGTTGCAAATTTCTTATCACATAAGAAACATTCAAATGGTTTCTCAATGTGTTTTTTTTTATGATAGTTTAAACTAACTCGTTGACTATAACTTTTATTGCACAAATTACATGCAAAGGGCTTTTCACCTGTGTGAGTTCGAATGTGGTTAGCCAGCAAGAACTTTTTTGTAAATTTTTTTTTGCAGTACTCACATGTATAGGGTTTTTCTCCAGTATGACTTTTACAATGGATAATGAAATTACTTCGGCCAGAAAATTGTTTATTACACACTTCACATTTAAATTCTAATTGCGCCGAGTGTTTCATTATGTTATGGTATCTTAATGTAGAAGTTTGTTTAAAGGTAGCATTGCAAACACCACAAACATATGGGCGTTCACCAGAATGTATCCGCAAATGATAGTCTAATCCTTGCTTGTAGTTAAATTTCTTTTCACATATATTACAAGAATATGGCAGTTTCCCTGAATGCTTTCTCAAATGCATATTTAAATTAGTTTTTCTAGCGAATGTTGCATTACAAACATTGCATGAAAAGGGACGTTCACCTGTATGTACACGCAAGTGATTTTCTAAATCACTTTTTTGTATCCATCCTTTATCACAGTATGGACACACAAAAGGTCTTTCGTTATTGTGAATTCTATAGTGAAGATCCAGACAATATTTTTTTGCAAAGCTTTTATGGCAGATATCACAAATATATTTGCTTGCTTGGCGCTCTATTTCAATGTGATAGTCAAAATTGTTTTCAAAAGCTACCTCTCCTTCATTTATGTTCTCACATTCAGTTTCAATGTGAGAATTCTTATGATGCTCCATTATAGCTTCATCTGGACATTTGTACAAACAGATGTTACAGGTATAAATTGCAGCTCCAGCAGTTTCTTTTAGATGCATTTTTAAATGAAATGGTCTTACATTTGCTGGACCTTCATATTCACATTTGTTGCACGAGAACATGGTTAAGGCTTTTATGATATGTTACATCAAAATAATATTTTTGTATTTTATAACCTCAAATTCTTGCACATCAGTTTGCAGAGATGTTCTGAAAATGTGGATAAATTGTAAATAATGTGATATTAAAAAAGAAACAATAACATTACACAAAAAATAAAATTGAAGGGTATAAAAACATTATAAATTAAAGTACATTATAATAAAAGGTACTTACTCCTATGAAGATTCTTAACAAGGCTTGGGTAACAAAATCTGTCTCTGTATTTTATACAGAGACATTTATTGTCAATTTCCTAAAATATATACAAATAAAAGTTACTTAATATTGTTTTGTTTTCAAAAGTGAGTTACGATTGTAAATTGTAATTCTTTTTCCAATATGTCACTAACAACACAGAATAAGAAAAATCAAGAATGGATTAACAATTATTGTGAATTGCTAATTTGGTAGCTAGCTGCTGTCATTTGTGTCAACCTATATAATACCGCCATTATTCCAATCTTTGGATTCCACAGATAAAAATATAATAAAACATAAGCGAGCAGTAATCTGTGAAATCTTATGGTTGTATTTTAAAAAATATTTTTTTTAATTCCTTTGTTAATCCTAAAGATACTTGAACTTTGAGTAATTATAATATCTCTACGTAAATATGCACATTGAAGACACTAAAGACAGATATCTAATTCGTAGCCATCTGCGGTGGTGCTTGGTGGTCGTAAACCTGTTTATGACAAGATGACATCCACGAAACTTTTATATATATTATGGAAAAAATATAATATTAAAAAGTTATTCCTACAGTAAACTGTGGTGTGATTCCTTATGTAGATGGTGGTAATCCCATAAAGGTCGAAACAAAGAATAAGGAAACAATGCTCTATCGTACATTAATATAATTATTGATATTATTGAAATTGCAATTAAATACTATAAACTGTTGTAATTTACTTATATTTGAATAAATCTTGGTCAACATATTTATTGCTATTAATAAAAGAAAATTATATAAGATAGGATCTTAGAGGATTTTTTATCAATAATATGGAAAGCCAAAGAACTAATACTATGTATTATTAATTGTTAGATTATCTAACTCTCTTAGTCACAGGGAAATAAGTGGATTGATATGAAAACCGATTCAAGGCTTATTCGATTTCACTCAATACTGAATAAAGTTTTCTTTCAGTAACTATAGGTTTTAACAGTACCTTCCTACTAGGATTTTGTAATGTGATGAATGCTCAAAAACCATAAGGTATGTTTTGTCATACCAAATAAGACAATAGACAGAATAAGACTAAAAAGATCCGCGAGACCTTTAAAGCCCCATCCACACGCTTGACAAACAATGGCAAACGGCCAACAGCAAACACGGACGTGTGGATGGGTGTTTGTCGTTGTTTGCCTGTTTGTGTTTGTGTTGGGCAGTGTTCGGCATCGGTGTCGGTTTATCTTGCCAGATCAAAGGATGTTTGGCAAACAGTTTGCTACGTATCCACACGTTTGGCAGCGATCAGTATGCGCGCGAGCTTGCGGGAGGCGGACGTATTTACTTGTTACACTTTTTCAATTAAAGCCCAAATAATAGGTCTAAAGCAGTACCTTGTACGATTTCTATGTATTTTAATCATCCACCATCGTCTTTGCTTTCTTCTCTTTTTCCTTTTTTCTTTCTCTTGCTTTAATTTATAATAAAAATATGTCAACCCGAAAGTAATAGCTGCCACAAGCTCGTCGTCCGCCATGTTTGTCGATTCGGAATGTTATAAACGTTCGCCAAGCATATGGAATGTGGATGGCTGTTTGTGTTGGGTGATTGTGGTTGGTGTTTGGGACTTCGTTTGCTGTTTGCGGTGTTTGTGACAAACAGCCAGCGTGTGGATGCCCCATAAAAGCCCGCAACGGTGTGTTCGTAAAATGGATGTCCAACGGTTAACGGCAGCCGCCTTTTAGTCTGACCCGTTGAAACTTGCCGCTCTTTTTTATAAAAAAAGAAAGAAACCAAATCTGTTGATATGATGATGATCAATGTTTATTTAAAAGTAAATAATAAGAGATGTCTGTTTAGTAATAAAGTATATGTAAAGAGAAAGTCATATAGGACTCATACTCATAGATAAGTATTATGAGTTTGATACGTATGTCAAAGACGGAAGGTTTGAGAATCTTATCTAAGGCCTCTGATGCGTGCATCATTGTTAACGTAAAAATTGAATACATATACTGATACACACTATCCTTTTCATAAAACAATGGTTTTCTTCCTGGCTCTATCAATACCAACAAACACATCATATAAAGATTAGGGGATGCATAATTTTTAATTACATATAATACTAGCAGACTCGGCCAAGCTTTGCTATGGCTAAAGTTTTTGTTATATTACATAGTAGTAAACTATTCAAGGGAAACGGTAGGAGAACACCAGTCATGGGGACCAATGGGGACCATCCTTTTTTGGTGGTTATGCCATTAAATTGTAGCTTATATGAAACGTTGGTAGGTACTTTCAACACAGCGCCATCTGTTAGAATTATGACTGTCAAATAATAAACAAATAATTTGCAATAAAATAATATTGCGAGTATAAATTAAGATGTAAGCTATCCTATCTTTTAAGTTAGTTCAAACTGCACACGGTATGCAAATTTGATTGAAATCGGTTAAGTAGTTTAGGAGTCCATAGCGGACAAACAACGTGACACGTAATTTATATATATTAAGATATATCCTATACATAAAACTTTTGGTAAGGTTTAAATAAAACAGATCTTACACAGTAAACATTTATTAACTTCAACGCGTTAAGTTCAACACAAGTTAAGTGTTGTATAAATTAAATAAAAACTAGGAACCAAAACACAAATCAAATAATTAACTAAAAAAACTTACTCTGAAACTCTTTAAACATCTAAAAACCTAAAAATTTTATAATAAATTAAATCGTGTACTTCTTCTAATTCTTAAATAAAGACTTACAGCTAAATTAGTTGAATTATTGGGATAAGCGTAGCTTAGCTAAAAATATACATAAATTTTATTATTATTTAATCTAACAAGAACTAGAAGATTACAAATCAAAGATCTACAGCGATGTAACATTAAGGTTCAGTCGGCTATTATGAACCCATTCCAAGTTTGGGCACTTTTCTTTAATTTACGGATATCGATATTCTAGAATACTAGTCGTCATGGCTGTAGTATTAGTATTTTTATTTATTTAATTAGTATTTATATTAAAAACATATTTAAAAGCCGCTTTTATACAAACAAATGCAACACGAAGAAATGATGTTCGTCGAGTTACTATCACAGACTTAAAAAATTGTATAATATAAGAATAGCGAATCCTTTGCGGGTTCGTAGCTTAAGTTACAATTATTGTCTCAAGCTCAAACCAATATATACTTTACTAGCGGACCCGATAGACGTTGTCTTGGATGATAATTCAAGCGATTAGAATATTAAACAATAAACAAAGTATGAAAGTATCGACTACAGCGCCACCCAAAAACGCATACAAAAAAATTCATTCAGATCGGTCCAGCCGTTTAAGAGGAGTTCAGTGACATATACACGTACATTGGAATTATACTATATAAAGACTAGCTGATCCGGCAAACGACGTTTTGCCATGTATATCATTTATAATAAAAAATAGGGGTTGATCGAAGCGGGGTGAAAGGGGTTGTGTGTATTTTTTAATGATCTAACAATAAAAAATTAACATTGATAAGATTTTTGTAATTCTGTATTTTATTTAATTTGGTATTGAAAAAATACTACGCGCGATAGCAGTTAAAAACCAACTAAAGTGTCTAGCGAAATGGAATACGCGGGGACTAAGTGGGTGTGAGGGGCATAGATAGTTCGTGCCTCGTTTCCCACGCCCCAGATCAAACAAGATGCGCTTTTACATTACTTTTCTTAAAGCGCGAAATTTGAAAAGTATCGTTGTATCGGCAATTAAAATATCGCCGATACCGATATATCGGCAACCCCAAAGTATCGCCGATATATCGGTATCGGTATCGGATGCATCCTTAATCTAAATATAAAAATAAATAAATTAGGGGTGTAGCCTTAACATTTAGGGGAATGAAAAATAGATGTCCGATTCTCAGACATACCCAATATTCACACAAAATTTCATGAGAATCGGTCAAGCCGTTTCGGAGGAGTTTAACTACACGCGAGAATTTTATATATTAGATATAGAAATGAGGGCTGTCACTTGAAACTAGATTTAAATTTGCTGTACTAGAATGCGAGCTTTAGATTTGATGAACCATGGAAGACAGACACACAAGTATAATGTTTTGTTATGTAATATTGTAGATTTCTTACACGGAAATTTGAATTAAGTATTTTTTAATACAAGTAGTATTCTTAGATTATATACTATAATAGTATACTATACTATAATAGTCGTATAAGTTTTCTATAATCTATAACATTTCTCTATTTTAAAGATTTTGTTTGAGTCTCAGTTTTATTACTATCGGCGTTTATATGTTCTTATATGTCGAGTTAAATCACTTTTATTCGTAAATGCCTTGTTACTGATATTACATATAAGGCTTTTCGCCTGTATGTATTCTTATGTGCTTAGTTAAATTACCTTTATCCGTAAATGGCTTATTACAGATGTAACATATGTATGGCTTTTCACCTGTATGTATTCTTATGTGATAAGATAAAGTTATTTTTTGCGTAAATGCTTTATTACAGATGTTACATATGTAAGGCTTTTCACCTGTATGTATTCTTATGTGAGAAGATAAATCACTTTTTTGTGTAAATGCCTTATTACAGATGTTACATATGTAAGGCTTTTCACCTGTATGTATTCTTATGTGCCTAGTTAAACTACGTTTATCCGTAAATGCCTTATTACAGATGTTACATATGTATGGCTTTTCACCTGTATGTATTTTTATGTGCGTAGTTAAATCACTTTTTTGTGTAAATGCCTTATTACAGATGTTACATATGT